CGCCTTGTCTAATTTCAAATTGTTTCCTCTAATCTCATCCATCTCATCTTGTCTATTATCATCTCTTACCTAGTCTCATCTTGTTTTCTCTCATTTAATCTTATCTCATTTTACCTAGTCTCTTCTCATTTATCTCAACTCATCTTGTCTTGTCTCATCTCCTGTCCTCTCATCTCATCTTGTCTCATCTAATTTTATCTCATCTTGCCTCATCTCGCCTCATTCCATAATTTCTTGAAAATGCACAATTTAGTTTGATTTTTTATTATAACAACACTTAAAAGGACTTTAACTCATCCCCCCACCCCCCATGTCACATGTCATCATAAATCCTTTTGTCTTGTTTTAAAACAGTCGGCGTCATTAAACACATTAAGGAGCTGCTACGTCAGATCAACCCCTCAGCTCCACAGTGAGTAGGATCATGGTTAGAGAATGTAAAATGATATAAGCTTAGTTCCTGTTTTGATGTTGAATAAAAAGGCCAGAGGGATGATATTCCATACTGTAGTTATTTCCAAGCAAACCTCATAGAAACTAATCAGTATAACATTTGTTTGTTTCATTTTACTACTCAAACATGCTGCTTTCCTCAGACGGCATGAAGAAACAAATATGTGACGGGAGACTTAACAATGGATTATAACCTATTTTTATTTACATGAAACAACATTTGTTAGTTGTAATAAAATGTTTTCCTGTGGTCTGATGAACAGACGGATGTTTTTGTACTCAGCAGCATGACAATAATTATTTTTCTTTTCTTTCTCATTTTCAGGGACAAGCAGGACCTTTCTATAATGCTGGGTTGAGTCAACCTTATGTCAGTAAAACAACAACAACGTAAAAACAGTGAAATTGAAAATAAATTCCTATTTCATTTACAATATATGTCATTTATTACAGTGGACTGAATCCAGGCCTCTCATGTTGAACATATATATTGACTACTTATAAAATACAATAAAGCATGGTCTGATACTCTGTTGTTTTTATATCTTACTCTTCAATATGTATGAAAAGTACATTGAATAACCTGCACTTTGAGTCTGGGAAGATTGTATTCACACATCATGCATATCAATATACAAATATGACATGTTGTATTTTTGCTCTGTAAATACCTGAAAATAAAAGCATTGTTTAAACATAATCAATGTACCTACCTCCTCTTGTTCTTTATAAACAAGCCTATTTAAAATATTAGCCCACTCAGACATGGAAGTAAGTGTTTGTGCCTGTGTGCGTCACCTATTGTATGGCTAATCGTCTGCAAATTGACTCCTTGGCCCCTTGTGTGACAATTTACTGGCAACAATTTAATCCTTCTATTCTGTTTATGTTTATCTGTCAAGCTGTCAGCTGACAAGAGCAGCCAGCTGAGGTGAAGCACTTGTTTACATTCTGCTGCTAAAACCAGAGGGGCGGCTAAACTTTTGCAAGCTGTACAATGAAAGGAGTCATCTCCGACCTTTGTCTTTCTGAATAACGTGTCCAAAGCTGCAAGACGTGCTTGAAACCAGGAAATGTGCATATTTATATTAGGAAAGTAAAGCTTTATAATGCATTGTTGATATTTATTGGAAATTTTAGGTTGGGACAAATGAAATTGTGAAAAATTTCAAGCAATAGTATTTAAAAAAACAAAAAAACGTTTATAGCCTGTTTCACAACATGTAAAGTCTGAATTATAGAAGTTTATGCAAGGCCGTTCTATGTTTGTGGAAAATTATTGACTTTAGGTATTAACTGAGTTATTAAGTAAATATTTTGAACAAAGCTTAAAGCAGTCTTGCACAATGTTTAGTCCTCAGAATGTGTATTGGGGCTGGCTCTCAACTACTGTCACATCAAATTCAATCCTAAATTAAGTTTTACACATTTTGTGTTTGCTATGACCGATTAGCTGTGGCGGCCATCTTGAAGTGGGCTGTCTCCAAAAGTTAATCAGTGTTTCATTGCTTATGAGCTATCATGATAAAATGATAGGTAAATGCACAGACACACGTCCAAACATTATTGCATTTTTGTTTTTAACAGCAGATGTTAATAAAGTGTGAACATTATAAGAAGCTGTTCGAAGAGAAGAACGGTTTGTAGGAGATCCCAGGGTGGGATGGGTGGATGGACGTTGCATAAAACTGGCCAGGAAAACTGCTAAAATGACCATTTTATATACTGGTTATGAATATAAACATAATTTATTTTCATGTTATCATTGGTAAAAGCTACAAAGAGCCACTGAAGCCACAGAGACAGTTTCTTCCCCGGGTGGTCTCTGATGAACACAATAAACACCTTACAGCTGCTGTGAAACAAAATAAGCATCGATGCATTACCACACGATGCCTTTTTATTTTTCCTCTGAAGTAAACTGAAGAAGGAAGAAATTTGAAGAAGGAAATTGTCTCCTACAGTAAATACTGTCCCTTTATCCTATCTTCTAAGTTTTTTCTATATTATACTTGAAATCTGGATGCTGTGAGTGCTTGGAACCAAAGTCAAATTCCTTGTTTTTGCACACAAACATGGCCAATAAATGTGATGCTGATGCTGAAGAGGAACCAAAGAACCTCATGTGGCCCTAGAGCTGCAGGTTGCAGACCCATAACGTTAGGAAAGGTTTGGTACCTTTGACAAAGAAAACGTGGACACAGCTGGTACTGGGATCTGATGAGTGTTTTGGCTTTGCTTAAATCAAGACTTTCAACTAGATCTGAAAATAATCTTGAGTTTTAAGTGACTGCTCGACTTTTCGATTAAACAAATTACACAACGTGACATCGGGCTGACATTTCAGACTGGTGGGATCAGTTCATACAAGGCTGAGGAAAAGGTAAAGCAGGAAGAAGAACAAAAACAGGAGAGCGAACAAACATCCTGTTTGTTGTGCTGTGAAGGGACAATTAAGAAGAAGAAATTCAAGAACCAATAGCCTGTTTGTAATGGTGCCAGTTAGAAAACACACCACTCCAGTGGTGGGACAGCTCTTCCCTGCCTAAAGGATATCCTTTGTTTAACATGAAGTGTTTTTCCACTGCTGGGATGTGCAGCTGACTGAAGGAGAAGCTGTGAGGATAATAAAGGTCAAATGGTTGTGCACTTTTGGAAATCATTTAGTTAAAGAGACTGAGGATGTAGTAAAAAGTTTTCCTCAGGAGAAAAGAAAGTCTGAATTGTCTGTGCACACTTTATTACTGAAACTGTCTCAGAGGGGGGTGACAGGAAGAGCTATGTTTTCCTCTGAAAAGCCAATGAAATGCCAGCAACACCAATCTAAAAATAAACCAAGTCAAGGTCGAGCATTCCTTGAAGGACTGCATCTCGCCCGCCATCTTTAATCCCAGAGTTTCAGGCCGAGATCTTTTTACGTTGAGAAATGACCGTTTTAGTTTTCTGGTCAAAACTTTTAAATAACATTGTGTCATGTGAGATCTCAGACCCTCCCTGGAGCCAGGCTCTGGAGGGGAGCTCACAGACGAGTCTAGCCTTGGCTCTCGTTCAAAAGAAACAGGAGTGTCTCTGACGGTATAAACTAACTCTAGAGACATGGACATGGAATAAGAAGCTGGAGCTTGTGTGTCAGGCTCAAGCTGTGCTCACCTTTACACACAGCTTGGGCTCTGGAACATCAAGTCACACACACACACACACACACACACACATGTATATA